TTCGCACACTTTAATGACTTAGTTTACATAAAAATAAACCCATCAGGTATAACACAACCGACCGTCTAGCAAGTCTGTATATAATGGCTATTTGCTAGCCCCAGAATTTAACACGCATCTTTAGCGCTAACTTCCTGTTGCGAGTATCACGTATTACAGCTCCTGTCACGATGCCTTGGTGTAACTGTATGTAAATATCCTAAGAATCTCTTAATCTGACTTGGAAGACAGTTTTGGCGAATTTAGATTTTTAATCCTGCTGTGTATCAATTCACATAAATTCATGCCATTTATTCGTGGACCTACTTTGAACCATTTGCAGCTACTGTAATTCAACTTATGTATAGGCTAAAACAAGCACCAGCTTGTTTCATCCGCCAGAGGACTTCTAGCTGTGTGCGAATGAAACGACGCATTTATTTCTTGTAATGACGAAACAGTCGGAGTCAGAGCGGCAGCACAACTCACTGCAGTATGTTCCAGTTACAGGAAAGGGTATATATACTACGTGAGCGCGCAACGTACTTACTCCATGTTAAACAACAACGATAATCTATCTTCGACATCAAAGCATTACTAAGCAATCCCCCCGGGGCTTGTAATAAATTAAACGACGTCCTTCTCTCGACGTTTCGTGTTTTGTGGCTTAGCACAGCGACGGATAACAGCATTCGAAGGTCTGCACGCGTATGCAAAGCAGACATTCACGCGTTCGTGGGTCGTAATGAGCGACACGGGATGAACAACGGGGCCGACACGTGCCGAGCCGTGCCGAGGGTGTCCGCTGCAGCCGCGCGCATTGTTACGGGCCGTGACAATGGAGTGCTCCTTTGTGGCCGGAGCAGGCGGGCACGAGCGCGGGGCGTCTGCCCTCACGAGCGAGTAAATAGGGGCAGGTGCGCGGCTGCTGCGCGGCTGCTGCGAGGTGCTACAGGCTAATAAACGAGAGTAGAACTCGCGAATACATTATAATCGCATTCGGGCAAAAACGTCAAAAGGCAAAATGAAAACCTTCCTTTCAAGAGCTTTTGTATCGCGTGAGGTATTGAAATCGTCGAGAAGAGAGACGGAGCTACATAATATCCCGAGATCAAAAACGTACATACGCCCAAAGTGCTGACGTTGGCAGTGTGTGGTGATTTTGCCGTTGGCTCGCCCGAGAAGCTGTTATGTGACGGACGGGCTATATCGATCATGGCCGGTGACGCTCCATGAGAACGGAAGTCCCGTGATTGAAACTTGCTTGCCACAGAATGAGATGGCAAGAAATCAAATGAAATGACTAATACGTTTGCAGGGTCATGCTAGTCGGATGACTCATTTCGTAGAGGCGAAATCGATAAACTTGTATAGACGTAACATCGTGTATTTATTAAATGGTAATATTAGATCGAATGTCAGCTGAGTACAAGTACAGCAGTGAACGCATGGAAAACATATGGGTGCGTCTACAGCCTGTACAATTTATTAATCTCCATAATGAAGGGTCGTAACATGCAGAATTTCTTACGCCAGTTAGTGAGTCATTTATGATCAGTGAATGAAATATTGCTCTCCTTGGGGATAAGAGAGAAACAGTTTGCCGATACGCAAGGATAAGCCGAGTAATTAGGCACCGTCGACCTTGAAGAATGCAGCGCGTACGTTTTCCATTCAGAAGCTGTAGACGACACGTGTTAAATGGTAATTTCGTAATTATCGAATGTGGTCGTCTATGTAATTTATTATTATGTGATGTAGGTGAAGTAATCAGTAGCGTTTTAGATTATATTATTGACATGTGTATGCCTGCTATTGTGTAGATAAATCAGGCAAACTATTGGTCGCCCCTCGGCTGATTAGATGCTTAGCATTTAATGATTGCGTATTCTATCATCTACAAAATGAAAATGAGTTAACAAATCGTTGAGTCGCTTGTGAAAACATAATTATAATGAATGCAAATAAATCTCAAAAGCCAGTCGTAGACATGATATTTCTGTTAATTGACCTTCATATATGGAGTATACTAGCATTTCTTTAGTAGCATGTCAACGATAGTCATCACATATACATCTCACTCTATTTAGTCATGAAAAGCCACCACTTTGTTAAAGTGACGCTAACGAATCTATCAATTGCACCTAACGTTAATCAATTGCAATTTAACGTTGGGAGCTTGGAAGCGTTGTTAGGGGACCGATCTTAGTTCAACTTCAGTGCCTGCATGGCGATAGCGCAACTTAGGAGGGTTTAATTAGTGAAGCATAAAGAGTTAAGTTTAGAACAACGACTACGTTGCTATGACACCGTGAAGCCTAGCTACACCAAGGCATATATATAGATATATATATATATTTATATATATATATATTTATTTATTTATTTATTTATATGCGCTGGCTACACAGCATAGCTATCTATTGGTGGTTCCCTCTATTTGTATCTTTATTCCCAACGAGTGCGCGGACACCAGTAACAGAGCTTAACCGGGGCTAGAGCTAGTCAAGCAATAAACCAGTGAGGTTTACCGAATTTCTGTGTCACGGCAGCAGAAAGAACTTTACATGAGGATGTTGAACTATGGAACGGCTTAAAAAGCCTTCTGCTGCGGGCGCGCATATGATCGTCTGTGGGTGGTTAGATTCCATGCCGGAGCGATACACACGGACTTTAGAAGTTGAATGTATTTTCTATATTTCTTGGGACACCTATTTGTGGTCATGTAATTTAGTATAGTGTGTGCAGTTTGGCATATTGTACAAGAAGGAAGGGAAAATCACTTTTCAAGTGAGATGATAATTATGACGAATAAACATCGTAACGCTCGCCCTCGGTAAGAGAAATACCGGTTATGTCACTTATGTGTTATTAATTGCTGAAGATTTCATGAACGTTGATAGTATAAAGAAGTGAACTAATGTTCAGCAATTTTAACTATTGATATCGCTTCACATAGACGCGGTTCAACAGGTAGGAAAACGAGCAGCACACAAATGTATGATTTCACTTTTACATAGCATTTTTGCGTATAAAGCGACATGTTTGAACATTGCGTGTGCGTGTTTACCTAGATCCCCTTGCTACGCCTTTACGCGTTGCCACATTGATTTGCTCTAAGATTTACTTAAGCTCCCTCTCCGTGTATGGTCTAAAGCGGTTCGTGTTTTTTCGGCTCTCACATGTTGCTATGGACTCCTATAGGCATCGTGGCTATATATTCCGGCTCTCTGTGCCAGTGAACTTAATACGGGCCGCAGGGCTTACAGCGAAAAATGTATCCATCGCTTCTTTTTCTCTATTTTGTTTTTTTCGCAAGATCGGACATCGGGTGTCGTGCTGCGATGTATGTATGAGGTGCGGCTGGCGATCTAGTTTTGCTCCGAGCGTTTTGGCAGCTGTCGCTTCTATTGCAGCGCTGGTGTAACATGACGTCTTACCGTTTAACGACATCGATTTAATCTTCCATAATGGGACAGTTTCTTGCAATACAGCTGTCGAGTCGAGCTTCCATAGTTTTCTCGTTTTGTGATCGTTTCAATTCCTTTAAATAGCAACAAAAAGAGGGGGAGCATATATCTATAGGCGCTGTGAGTCAATATGCACACCGATTTTATAAGATCAGCACCCGGTATATAGCCTCATATTAAAATTATGTTAAAACGGTCATTATGCATGTTATCTTTAGCAGGAAATATGCCGGTGGTTAATAATTAGCATGTCAGTAACAACGAACCGGTTCATCTACGTTAGGTAGCACCAATAGCACAAGAGCACGCAAACAAATTTGTGCTCTGGTTATATAGTACCAAGCGCATTCATACGGCAGGGTGGGTAGAGAAGGCAAATTAAGGGGTTCATCCATGGAAATTTAATGATAAATCTATATAGATATGTCTATCTAGTATATGATTTCTATGCTTACATCGCTTAGTGTTATAATCATGGGTTTCTGGTTGCTCGCGGAGAGGCGAGCAAGCGTTCACAGAGCAGTGGGGTCACAGCGAGATAGGCACAGGGCCATAGCACGGTCGACTTAATAGACAACATTGCAAGACAAGCGTAAGTTCGTTTTACGGTTGCCTTCGGTTCATACTAAGGCTATTACATGAGGGGTGATTTGGCCAAACGCCATTAATCTATGTACTATAACCTAGTAATACGTCACCACCCTTTTATAAGTCGCGAGCCAATGATAAACCGATTCACCTTGAAAAATCCTTTTGGTGTTATAGACGGCTCCTACGCGTTATTATTATATATCACTTCCTCTATACAACGCTAAAGAAACTGTTACTATCAGTGAAGTAGTTACTCGAGGTACCCGTCTATTATAGCGTATGCAGTGACGACAGAAATAAGCATTCTTTTGGCATCGCGCCAGCTACCTCATGTGATATTTTACGCCTCGAAACGCCTCCGTTTCTAGAACTAGTTAAAATGCAGGTAAACTGATTTTTTCAACCTTGAGCTGCGATACATTTCTTAAGACGTACCGTCCGCCTGGGACCAGGAATAAGAAATGGAGTGAATATATGTGAAATTCTCAGTTGGGCGACGATCGCATTACATCACTACTTCTTTTGTGACGTCTCGTTTACATATCGTCAGTAAATAGAGTCACGCATTTCTACATTGACATAGCGTGCAGAATGTATACAGAGAACATATATATAGGGGGGAAGAGGAGCCGAAGAAAGCTTCCACATTTCTTGAGCTTCCACGATCTATAGTTCACCTTATATAGGTATCAGCTATAATCCAATCTGATCTAGCCGTCACTGCGGCTCGGTGTCCCCTTTAACGAGGCGAGGTTTGAGGAGAGTGATGAAGTGGTCAGAATGATGCCGTCACGTCGGTGCGTCCACCGCGTAGACCTTACACTCGACAGAACCCCCTCTCGCGAGCATGCAGGCACTGTAAAGCATTGCCGCGGGACGTCACGGTCACCCGAGCACAGATGTACACACAAGCGCCTGATCACTTCTTCCAAGCAGACCGTGACGGCAGCTGTTCGTGTGCCTGTCATGAACTTTGTTCGATTTTCCCGCAGCATGACGACGGTCATGCGAATAAGTTAGCATTGATGTATGTAAAGCACACGTACGAACAAAGGAGACTGTCCCTAATGTTACAATATATAAATATATATACACACACACATATATAAATATATATCGGCGCCGACGTTACTGTGATTGATGTTTGACTACAGATCGAGATACGGCTGACGTTAGATATTGGTTTTGACCTCTTTATCGCGGGTGATTCTCGCAGAATAGTGTTAGCGAGCAAAGACCGTCGTTTTCCCGGTTGGACTGAAGGATATTTAGACGTGCGTACCGCCGCAGCAGCTGAGACATGGTTTTGCATAGGTTATTGGTAAGTTGTGCTCATTTCCTAATCACGAGTAACACTAGCATACGCACACGAGTAATCACTAATCGCAATAGCACGATCGTGCCATATAGCTCGTGTCCGCGCTGCAACCACAATAATTAATACCTGGAGGCTAGGTACACAAAGCCTTCGCGTCGCAATCGTGCGTCGTTGTTCTAACGGCGGGCTCTGTGTTACCATGGATATAGATTCTAATTCAGGTCTATTAGTCACTCATTACTTATTCCCGCTTAGCTTACTAAGCAGAGCACTGTTATATTAGCGCACCGCAGAGCAACGATAATGTTTGTCTTTTATTAAAATGTGATAATTGTGTGAATTAATACTGATATTAAACGAAGAAGAAAATACTCTATAAAATTTACTTAGCTAACTTTGTTAATAATGTCTGTATTTAACACGTAGGTATTCTAAACAAGTACGTGATAAGAACATACGTAATAAGTGGGTATGTTACGCGCATTTTCATAGTCGTCGTCATATCCGTGAGACAGCTGCGTGAGCCCGCTCACTAGTATAGTCACTTTATCTCTTATGGTTCTATTATATTAATCAACGTTTCAGAAACTATACACCATTATTATATTTAAAGCCCAAAATGCAAGTGGCATCAAATCGTTTTTGCTATCTACATGGGTATTTTGCTTACCCGCGCTATATGTCGATAGATTTAGCGAATATATAACGTATAGGCCCTATATAACATACGCATGCGTACAATGTAGGTTGGAGTTATTAAACATATTTAGCTAGCATTTGATTACCATTATTGCTTATTGGTTCAGTGCTCCCCGAGTATCATATAACACACGGCAGTTACTCTAAAACCTACACCATAGTCTGATATATAATAATATATATATATTATTATAATGATGGTTTGATGAGTCTGATAATAGTTTAGATCACATATAGGTGATCTAGCTACGCGCTAGAGGTACGCTAACAAAGCTGTTTTGTGAAACTCTGCGACGTCTGCGTTTATATGGTTGCCTTATGCCCTTTTGTGAACCCGACTAGCTGTGAAGCGGAACTGATGAATGCGCCCTCATCAAAGTACCCAAATCCTCAAAATCGAGCAGATGCGGCAGCCGCTGCAGCAGGCCACGTTCTATGGCGTCCATCTATTAGAAATATATAGCGCATATAGTAGGTGTTCGAGCGATAAATGTCAGTACGGGTAAATCGACATATAGTCGTAGAGACTTCGAGACATAGTTTAACGTTTGCATGTAACACGGGCATTGCCTTACTGAGAATGACGATGAAATGAGCAAAAAATGTGTCCTAATGCATATATACTAGCTATTTCCAGCTGGTATGTGTGCCAAAAACCGCGTTTAGTGGGGGACATATTATGAGCAATTATAGCAATGTCGTTTTTATATATTTCCAAGCTCTGTTATTAAAAAAAACAGTGTCACACAGTCTGCTGAGTAGGGGAGTGGGTCCCCTACTTAGACGAACAATACATAATGCTAATGCTCTGTTTATGATAATATTCCTTATAAGTAGGCAGCCCTGCAGCAGTGGGACTTGTATGAATTGAAAATGTCGATGCAAGCATTAGGTTTAATTGTAATCAGCTTTACAAACGCGTCCAGTTATGGATTTTTACATAGCGGATGTGAAACAATATGAGTTGCGTAGTCCGAGGTTTAGGCGTGTGCGTGTGTGTTAAATACGGGTGTTTTCCATGAGCAACTGTAGCCCATGCATGCACCCGGGCCACCATGCTATAACCACCTTTTCTGCGCGCAGCCCGTCATTTTTCTTTGTTCATGCATGGCTCTGTGCCAGAATCGCCTGGTTACCTATTATTTGCAGTAGTTGCGAGAGGGATTTCAAATCGTTTCCTGTCAGCCCTTTGTTCATTGTTGTCGGACCCACGCGCTGAACAGATGGGTATTCCTAAGACGTGACACATTGTCCCTGACAGATACCCATGACCTGTCGGATTTTCCTGAACATATTTCTCTCTCACACACTCTCTATCGCTTTTTCTCTCTCTCTCTCTCTCTCTATCTCTCTCTCACACACTCTCTCTCGTTTTCTCTCTCTCTCTCTCTCTCTCTTTCTCTCCCCTCCCCTCTCTCTCTTTCTCCCCACTCTTTTTCTCTCCATATATATATATATATATATATATATATATATATACCTATAATGTACAACAACGCGTGATATAACTTCCCGCTCTATACGTGTAAAGCCTAGCGCACACACCCGAGCGAAACACGTTTTGCTCCACGTTTAGGGTGTTTTGCTCGGGTGTGTGCGCTAGGCTTTTTAGGCATTAATAGGCCTATTCTATGTTACTGGACTTGACACAAGGATAACATTGGCTCTGGGTTCACGTGAAAGTACATCGTCATAAACTAGCAGCTGCCGCCCAGGCAGGTGTCGAAAGGATTGGCTATTCTCCTATTTGCAATGTGCCACTACCTCGAGCAATTAACTTGATATGAAAATCGCCGTCGGGTGTGCACTGAAATACAGCATCGCATGCTAGACAAAGTTATTTAGTACTTATGGGGAACAAACGGCAGCATAAAGGTCTTGGGAAATTCATCCACCCGGGGAAAGCCCGGCTATGATGAGCGCCAAAACCCGTCGGAATGAAGCAACGTGGTTACACTTTAACCGAATAATTATACGTCCAAGAACGTGAGGGCTCCGTCGTATACATATCATTTTATACAGGTCTTATTAACAGTGTGAGCAGATATTGACAGTAGTACCTACCGTCGTCTGCAAAATCAATCACGATTGAGTGTGCAAAATGTACAAAACTTACTGGTATCACCTATAGTCTTTAATAAAATAATACCTGCCAAGCCGCAGGTGAAAACAGGACACGTAATTATTTCAGTGGATGCGTACTCAACGTCTATCCAGACCTGAATGCGGGCGAATTCTGCACATGAATATTTTATGAATTGGTGGATCTCCTCGTACGTATTTTACGAATCTAAGGAATTTAGTGCATAATTGTTATGTGAATGTGAAAATCTCATCGTGCGTACGATACGAAACTGAGAAATTCTGTACGCGAATGTTGTGTGATATTCGTGAATGTATTGTGAAATCTTCCTTCATATCTTACGTTGCAGGCCTTTGAACCGATGGCGGGAGCACCCGTGCAGGCTAACCAGCAGGATGGCGTTGCGGGCGGGCAGGATGAGGAGGAGGCTCGTTTGTCGCCCATTCACTCACTCCACATAAAACCCCCGATATCATCGCCACCTCCCCCTATACTCAGTCCTGAAGGCATGGACTGCTTCGGCAACGAGAGATCCGTAAGAAATAGGAATTTATGACAAAGTTATAGTTGAGAAAGTATGATGGCATCGTATTTATGCAATTCTTAGGAGCACAAATATCACATCACGAAGCTATGGTAAACATGTATGTCTCCTGATGTGATAATGTACCCGCACGTAGAGGACTGATACCGATGCAACCTATTTACCAAACATTTCTGTGCAGGCGCTCTCGGAGCAGGCAAAGTTTTACGACAATCCGTTGCTGAGCGACGTGTTGTTGAAGGTGGGAGAGATGCGGTTTAACGCGCACAAACTCATCCTAGTCCGGGCTAGCGAAGTGTTCGAGCGAATGCTTAGCTCCGATTGGACCAATCCACGTCTACGGGTGAGCACCAACGATTTCCACTAGACGCGCTAGCGTTCCATATTTGGAAAGATATATCGATGATTCCGCTATCGATCTTTTTAATCATTTTGCCCCAGATTGTTTTCGAAACGTCGCACAAAGATCCCTTTAAAACGAGACACTAGCTATATGGAGTCTAAGACTGCTCATGGTTAAATAAAAAGAACTCAAAAAGAATTCGATGAATACACTTGGACCTTTACCGTGGGTCAAACATTTTACCTACAGTTAGAGTATACTTGTCCAAAAGAGAAATGATGAATTGTGTGAGAGTGAAACGACTCGTTCCGGTTAGGTTCCGTGAGCTAAAAGGTGGTGACCTCGTAAGCTTTCACGACAGTTGTGCGTATGGAAGAAACACGCACCCACACAAATGCTGACCTTCGATAGGCAATCTTTTAAGCACTAATAGCACGTTTCCTCGCTTTGTGATAAGACACTTGTGTTTAAAAAGGCGGGACGAATTATCACTCCCGTTATTTAGTAACCATCAAATTTTATTACCCAGTTTCTTTATTTATTTCGCGTATATACTTATCTATCTGTCTATCAATCAATCTATTTATTTATTTATTTGTTTATTGTTCTATCTATCTATCCATCCATCCACCCACCCACCCATCCATCCATCCATCCATCCATCCATCCATCCATCCATCCATCCATCCATCCATCCATCCATCCATCCATCCATCCATCCATCCATCCATCCATCCATCCATCCATCCATCCATCCATCCATCCATCCATCCACTACCACTCCACTCCATCCAACTTTGATACAACGGGTATTGTGAGGCATTAACGACGATTTCCTCCTGGTGCGCTATAAGCTTCATTATACGTTTACAGATGACGCGATTGGAAAGGCTAAACTCTTGCGCAAAAGATATTACTCGTTCAAGCT